AAAAAAAAAAAAAAAAAAAACCCAGCCAGGCATGGTGGCACGCACCTATAGTCCCAGCTACTCGGGAGGCTGAGGCAGGAGAATCACTTGAAGCTGGGAGGCGGAAGTTGCAGTGAGCCAAGATCATGCCACTGCACTCCAGCCTGGTAACAGAGCAAGAATCCGTCTCAAAAAAAAAAAAAAAAAGAAAAAGAAAAGAAAGAAAAATTTCAATATGATCTACATAAAATATAACATGGTCTCAATGTTTTCGTTTTTTACTTTTTAGAGATGGAGTCTTGCTCTGTATCCCAGGCTGGAGTGCCTACGATCTTAGCTCACTGCAACCTCCATCTCCCAGGCTCAAGCGATTCTCCTGCCTCAGCCTCCTGAGTGGCTGAGACTACAGGTGCCTACCACCACGCCCAGCTAATTTTTTGTATTTTAGTAGAGACAGCGCTTCACTAAGTTGGCCAGGCTGGTCTCGACCTCCTGACCTCAAGTGATCTGCCTGCCTCGGCCTCCCAAAGTGCTGGGATTACAGACGTGAGCCACTGTGCCCGGTCTCAATGTTTTTTAAAAGGGAGGACTACAATTACTTCTATCACTCAAGCCTTAGAATTATTAGAGCCAATTTCAAGGCTAAAGTCTAAAAAAAACAACAGTACTCCAGGATTAAACAATTTGTAAAATATCAAGGCTATTCACTTTGGAGATAACAGCTCTTATATCAAAGTAGTGAGGGCTAAACGTAAATTCTTGGACTCCTGGAATACCACATAAAGCCTCCAAACTTAATACACAGCTGACCTTCAACAACAGGGGTGTGAACTGCATCGGTCCACTTATACGGAATTGTTTGTGCCAACCAAGTGAGGATTGAAAATACGGTGTTCCTGGATGCAAAGCCGGAGTACACGGAGGGCAGACTTTTCCTACACGTGGGTTCCACGGGACTGGAGCACTGCATGGATTTGGGTGTGCATGGGGGACCTGAAACCATTCCTCCTGCACATACTGATGGATGACTGCAGCTAATGGTTTTTTTTTTTTTTTAAACATATATTTCATTCAATAATTTTGAAAAATAAAAAGGTACAAACGTCTGTAAACTATCATCAGGCCAGGCGCGGTGGCTCAAGCCTGTAATCCCAGCACTTTGGGAGGCCGAGACGGGTGGATCACGAGGTCTGGAGATCGAGACCATCCTGGCTAACACGGTGAAACCCCATCTCTACTAAAAATACAAAAAACTAGCCGGGTGAGTTGGCGGGCGCCTGTAGTCCCAGCTACTCGGCAGGCTGAGGCAGGAGAATGGCGTGAACCCGGGAGGCGGAGCTTGCAGTGAGCTGAGATCCTGCCACTGCACTCCAGCCTGGGCGACACAGTGAGACTCCGTCTCAAAAAAAAAAAAAAAACACTATTATCTAATACTGTTTTAAAAGTGAAAGTATAATTATGGAACTATTTCTTTTTTAGGTCACATCTTAACATAAACTTATGGCTATACTTTCTTACATAGGAACACACAGAAACCTCTCTTGGTGCTAGCAGAAGATAAAGATTTAGATTTACAGCAGAACTTTGTTGTGTTTTTCTGCAAAAGAATTTAAAAGTTACCTTCAGAAAATCATGTAAGTGTTTAAGGACACCTATCCTGACTTCATCGAGGTCTTTTAAAAATCCATTAAAAATTGGAACCAGATCTGCAGCTGTCAACTGATCTCCAAGAATAACTGCAAGCTCGTGGATGGAGAATGCTAGAGTTCGTCGAACTTTCCACTGCAGAAATGAAAACACATTAGTAAGCTGACCACAAAGTACTCAGTACTTCAACCTTTAGGCAATATACGAAGGCTAATTTATATATGAATGTCACTAATCTCAAAAAATTAAATCAGAATGGTAATAACAGATACTAATTTTAAATGCCTAAATTATGCATCGAAAAGTGTAACAGAAAAGTCTTAAATCCCTGCCTAGTATGTATTATCTTCCTTTCACTCATGAGGAAAAAATGCTTAGAAATCATTAAGTTTTTGTAGTTCTCTGAACATCGGACCCTGACTCTGACCGTGTGAAAAGAACATGCTCTGTTATTACTCTCACGCTCTTCCATACATAATTTCCTATAACACTAAGTACGCGCTAGAACACGCTGATGAGCTGAGGCTGCACATGGACCAAAGGCGCTCTAGCACCCTCACCAGTTTACTGTCCCCCTTCAGATTCCTGTACAGCCAAACCTTGGATTAAGAAAAACAAAACAGAACAATAAAATGTGTTCTTAAGGAATTGGCAATTTAAGAAATATAAGACTAGGGAAATCTGCATACAGCCTTGGAAAAGAAACCCTCAACAGAAATGTGTTGCATTTATACTAATTTTAAGTTAAAAACATCCTTTTCTCCATGTTGTCTTAATTTTTCACACAGTAACTTAAAACTTTACCTAAAGAGAAACAGTTTAGAGCAAACATTTTATTTCCTTTCCCTTCCCCCCAGAATCTACTCTTGAAATCAAATTTTACACCTAAGTTCAACATATAAAACAGATGAAGGCAGAGATGTTCTCATGGAAGAGGGGGGCAGCAGAGAGAAGGAACTGCTAGTCCAGACTCTGAGCCGTCAGAGTCACCCAGGTGCCCCCGGAGATTCATCCCACGGGAACCCTACAGTTCTGTGGAATAAAGACCGAAAACACGAATACACAGGACAAAGCACTCTATGGAAATTGGGCCTTTGTGGTTCCATGACCAGATGCAGCACTGAAGAAGTGTATGAACACAGATAAATTCACTTCTCCTGGGCCCGGCTTTCCTAACCTCATAGGTCAAAGGAGGAACTTGACCTATCAAGATTACTTCCCACTTAGAACTTGCTGAGTCAACACCACTGATTCCCTGAAAAATATAATAATTACTAAGAAGTTTAAGGAAAAGTCATCACATTTCAGTACAAATTAGCCTAATCAGACTGCTTTTTTTTTTTTTTTAAATTTTTTTAAATAACTGAGAGATCAGCTTCACTGAAGGAACGGGTGTGTTCAAAGAGGCGCAAACTTTGTTTATATAGAAATCAGCCTGGCAGGGGAGGTTAGGTCATCAAGCCTGGGAAGAGGTCACACGAAAGTCACAGATGTCCAGACAAAATGACCTGAAGCAAGGGTTTACCTTGTGTGTTCTGTTGAAAGGGGGTGGGGGTGGTGTGTGGGGACGAGGAGAGAGCAAAAACCACAGAACTTCTCCTGTCTGTACTGCAATGCTCAAGGCACGCGGGGCCCAGAACTTCACACTCGCTAGTAATACTACAGTTCTACTATAGTTTAAACAAATATTTTGAGATCTAGTGTGAAAAATCAAATAAGCATTTATAATACTATTTCTAGGTGAAAAATTAAATGCTATATTCTCAACAATTAATTTACAGATAAACTCTAGATAATAACACATTTTAAGTTAGGAATGTAGGCATGTTGAATGTGCTAACAATTTCTAATGCTTTAGATAAAAATGAAGCCGCCAAATTGTGGGACTCTGACAGTCCAAAAAGAACATGCCTGTTATTACTCTTAAGCTCTTCCATACATAATTTCCTATAACACTAAGAACATGCTAGAACACGAACAGAAATTCTTTAGGTTATGAAAAGCAAAGCACTGTGCCTTCCACATGCACGTTCTGCTAATTCTTTAACTGCTTTACTCACCTGCATATCTGAGGCCAGAGTCTCATACGTCTCTCTCAGGCAGTGCCAGTTCTGTCTTCCGAGTGTCAAGGCCACACCGGGGAGGCTGTATGCACAGTGCTTAGCAATTTCCGTGTCAACCGTCTGCGCACGAGAAGGGTCAGTCATAGATAAATACTGATCTAACAACGCCTGAGGTACAACATCCTAATGGAGAAAGAGAAACCACAGTGACTGAGCAGTTGAGATGCATTTTGAGCAGTTTAGACATAAATTGGGCAAAATTATTTTTAAATATATAGATTTTAACATAGCATCTCAAATAGTTGAGAAATACCAATGTCAAATTTTCAGGTATCTAATAACTAAGAGATACAAAAAACATGCTAAGGGAAACATATATGAACAAATAAAAGCAAAAGTAACTCTAGGAGAATAATGAGTAACATCTCAGTTCAAAGGAAAATTAGAATCACTAAATTAGAAAGACGTATTAAAATAACACCAGCACCTTTAAATGTACGCAGAGATGACAATGTTTGTTATAACCCAGCAAATGCAGAATAACAGGTGCTCTGCATGATTTGCAACATGTTCATTAAAAAAGCAAAAACCAGCCAGGGACGGTGGCTCACATCTGTAATTCCGGCACTTTGAGAAGCCAAGGAGGGTGGATCACTTGAGCCCAGCCTGGGCAACATGGTGAAACCCTGTCTCTACAAAAAATTTTAAAAATCAGCCAGGTATGGTGGCTCACACCTGTAGTTCCAGCTACTCGGGAGGCTGAGGTGGGATGATCACTTGAGCCCAGGGAAGCAGAAGCTGCAGTGAGCCGTGAGAGCTCCACTGTACTCCAGCCTGGGCCATAGAGTGAGACTGTCTCAAAACAAAAATAAAAACTTGTCTTCTTTAGATGAAAATTTAAGCAATTATTCATACAAAATTGAAGTGCACATGTCTAATTATTTGTATATATGTGAGGAAAAGAACACATGTGCAATCTTGCTTAGGTGTGTATAATATAGCTGTGGAAGGATATAAAAGTAAGGTAAAAATGGTTGTATCTCAGGAAGCAAAATGGACAAGTGGAGAAGAAAAACTGAGAAGGGAATGTCAATAAATGCCTGTTAAGTATCTTGAATTTTGAGCTACATAAACTAATTACCCATGTACACAGAATGAAAATGGAAATAAACTCATTAAAATGAGATTTGAAATACTGAAAATGTCTATAAGTGGGGAAAAGCATGTTTCAAAACACTATTGTTTTGAATACTGATTTCATTTTTAATAAATAAAAATTGGCTACATGTGGTGGTGCACATCTGCAGGCCCAGCTAGCTGGGGGGCTGAGGCAGAAGGATCAATTGCTTAAGCCCAGGAGTTGGAGGCTGCAATGAGCTGTGATCTCGCCACTGCACTCCAGCCTGGGTGACAGAGCTGAGATCCCATCTCTAACAACAACAACAACAAAATAAATACACCATTTGATCTGGGAAATCTACTTCTAACAATAATAATATAGTCCTAAGGCCAGGCGCGGTGGCTCATGCCTGTAATCGCAGCACTTTGGGAGGCCAAGGTGGGTGGATCACTCGAGGTCAGGAGTTCGTGACCAGCCTGGCCAACATGGCGAAACACTGTCTCTACTAAAAATACAGAAAAACTAGCTGGGCATGGTGGCTCGCAACTGTAGTCCCAGCAGCTTGGGAGGCTGAGGCAGGAGAACTGTTTGAACTCAGGAGGCGGAGTTTGCAGTAAGCTGAGATGGTGCCACTGCACTCTAGCCTGGGTGACAGAGTGAGACTCCATCTCTAATAATAATAAAGTCCTAGAAGCAAACAACACATCTAGACAGTCACGGTGAATGCAGCACTTCTTACAGCGTCAAAGTGAAACTACAAGTAGCATCTGCCACAGAGTCTTCTTACAATGGAGACCACAGGTGTGGCATGTACACTGGGCTGTGCTGCTGTGAAGGTGAGGGAGTCCTAGTGTGTTTACAGGAGAGATCACCAGGTCAGACTGTTAGAAAAGAAAAGAGCCAGGCAAGGCATAGCTACCACATTCCAATGATTCCGTGAGCACAGTTTCCCTGCAGCTTGTTACTGATAGCACTTCAAAATTTTCATATTTTTTCATATTTTCATCTCTGAAATCGAGCTGCATTTTATAATTATTGGCAATGTGAACAAGAGGAAATACCTAGGTAGGATGGGATGACCACAGTTGTCTTGAATGATAAAAAGGGGCACATGTGTATGTTTATGTGCCCATGAAAATACATGAAGGAAGATAACAAGGTGTGTGACTGTGGTCACTCTGAATGAAGAATGGGATCACAGAGGTAGGAAAGGGAAGATTTGTGCTTACACGTTCCTCTCTCTACTATTTCAATTTCCTTATAGAAAATATGACGCACTAGTCATAATTTTTAGAACACTCATCATAAAGAAGGGGCAAATTAGGTCAGAAATGGGCTCTAAAAGAGGAATTAGGAACGCACCCCCAAAAGAACACATTTTTTGGTCACTTACTTGTACTTTAGTTCTCCTTTCCTCATCAGGGCTAAAACTGCTATTGTTGCTCAAGTCTGAATCGTTGTGAATATAGTGAAGAGTGGAGTCCATATTCTGTTAGGAAAAAATAACTACTTAAAGAGCTGTCCTGGCTGTACATCTTCATTTAAGCTATCTTACACTAAGTTACTTACCTTTCAAGACTGCCAAAAGTAATAAACATATACATGCCTCATGTTTTTAAAAGCTTATAGTCATACCTAAGAACTTTCCCTACTTTAAACCTAACTTGCTGAATAGGTTGTCAAATGTGTGAAAACTCCAGAAAAATGAGAGTAGTTAAAAACAATATTTGAAAGTAATTTTGAAATGGTCCAAACAGCTCAAATTAGCTTATTCATGAAATAGTACTGAGAGGATTCTTTTGATCCATTGTTTTAGAGACCATGGAGTGTCATATGCAGTTTTTCTTCTATTTCTATTCTTGGCTGTTAATATCTAATTTCACAAATTATGTATATGTTAACAGCCAAAAACAGTAACAACAACAACATAAACACCTTCTAAGATGCAGATATATTACTACTATTCAAATCTCCAATAAATAGTCAGGGTTTCAATCCAAAGCAGTGGTATCATACAGATTTCTAACTATACCACATGCCATCTAACAGAAATCAAAACAGAAATGCACTAAAGCTCTAAGAACCCTCTTGCCGTCCCCAGTGTGTGCAGGTACTCTTTCCTGAGCTTCTCATTCAAGCCACTATGATCTGTGACCATGCGATTCTGGCAATCGGTGGTGCATTCCTTCTCCCCATTTATATAAACAATGGCTAAGTAGCACTGACACCAAATAATGCTGGCTTGATGGAGATGCAGCAGGAAATTAGGGAAGGATCACAGAGAACAGCTATAAGTACAAAGTGAAGATGATGCTAGGATCAGTACCCACCCTCACACTCCAGAGTCCAGATAATGTCACTGGCCCTCCGCAACATGGCCTCAAGTCCCGATCTTCTGCTCAGAATACTGTGTTGCTTGCTGCAGTGAAATGGTCCGATCAGAAACAAAGCACCTCTCCAAAAAGAAAAGGGAAGAGTTAATTATTCTTGATAAAGGGCTTTGTTTCCAGTAAGACTATTTCACTGCAGTGAGCTACATTAACATTGAGTCTACTAAATGGTCATATAGACAGAAGTGGGATTTACTTTTCCAGGCATTTCATATGACACTGATGTCACGAGGACAGGATGTGATGAAAACAATTACTTTATGCAAAAGGAAGAGCTAAAAAATCAGCAACAAACAGAACGTACAAACTAAAAGTGATCAGCTACAACTATTCCCCAATGAAAGACTTCTGATTCAAACTACTCTCACTTGGTAAATACTGAGTTTGTTACCTCAACAGCATCGCTGATTAAAGGCACAGAATCTTCTTGATTTATTTTACAATGTGGTAGCTCATTTATACCCAGTTCATCTTGCAAATCACTTCTCTTTTCTACATTGGTGGTCTCTTCATGTACATCCAGGCTGGAAGCACGCAGTGCAGCGGACAGCACTTCCACTTGTGCTACAGGCAAAATAAGGAAATGGACGAAGTGAGAACCACAACTGCAATATCCTTACAAGGCTGCTCTCCATTTGCATTGTACGTTATCAATGAAATGTATACTTTTTTGACACTGCAATCAAAAAGCTGGAAAAAAATTTCTACTGTGGTAAATCATTAGTCCTTCAAGAGAAAAAGTAGAAAACTAATATGCTTTCATGAGATTAAAAATGTTTATCTGCTACTGTACATTATTCTGCGTTAGTATGAAAAGAGAAATGCTATCTAGTTGCTGGAGCTGCCTCCAGCTTATTAAAAGGAGTCAATTTCAGTAAAAGTTAACTATGTTTTGGTAGTGCGTGAATCAAACTGACAAGTCTTACTTACTAAGCTATTTTAGCAGAAGAGCAGTCACACAAACCCTGCCAACATAAAACAATGGTAATTACAAAGATTCTTGTCACAGTTACATTTAAACATCTCATATCTTATTACTGCTTATTTCTCTCTAATTCTTTTTGAAAATGAGAATTGTATCTTCTCCCAAACACAACAATCCCAAATGAGCACTGTCTTGCTTACAGCAAACCAAAAGGACAACTTACCAGGCAGGGGTTCAAAAATCTGGCAACTAGCATTGCCTACGTTTTGGGTTGCACCTTACTTACAAAGGTGATTCGAAATTAAGATAAGGCATTCTTCCTGCTGCCCAGATAAATCAGAAATTTAGCAAAAAATATTGCTTAGCATTTATTCCAAGTAACAATCCACTTCAATGTTCAAAATATGAACATTTTAAACAAAACAATCAGTAACTGTTTTATTAAGATAATCTATTAAGATGCAGCATTTATAAAATTTCTCATCTAAGTTTATTAAGTGTCTGACAATAGACATGCAAGAAACATACAGGATGAGGTTCTAGTCCATTAGGTCATTACTTGCTAACTTAAGAAAACTGAACGTGTTCACTCACAAAAAGTTGCGGTGGAATATTTTCATTATCTTCAGAATTTCAGCTGTAATTTTCACCAACCCTTTTAATCACTTCAGCCACTCCCTTTTGGGATCACTCCCAAGCCAAACCAAAACAGTACTCAAAATAGACTGTACAAGAAAGAAACGTTAAAACGTTTTGTCCCGTATAAAGTGCATGGTATGTGGGTGTGTGCGTGCATCATCCCCCATCCATTCTGTTCACTGGAAAGTGCAGGCACACCTTGTTTTATTGTACTTCGTAGATACTACACTTTTCCTTTTTTTTCTTTAAAGAGGTGAGGTCCCACTATTTTGCCCAGGTTGGAGTTACCTGCAGAAAGCTATTCACAAGGCATGATCATAGCTCACTGAAGCACTGAACCCCTGGGCTCAAGCAATCTTTCAGCCTCGGCCTCCTGAGTGGTTGGGACTACAGCCACACACCACCATGCCGGGCTTGATACTGTACTTTTTATAAACTGAAGGTCTGTGGCAAGCTTACATTTAGCAAGTTTATCAGTGCTATTTTTCCAACCGCATGTGTTTACTCTGTGCCTCTGTACTGCACGTTGGTAATTCTTGTACTATTTCCATCTTTTTCATTATTGTTATATCTGATATGGTGATCTGTGATCAGTGATCTTTGATATCACTATTGTAATTGTTTTGGGAGGTGCTAACTAGCTGTACAAGACAGACAAGACAGCAAACTTAAATGATAAATGTGTGTGTTCTTACAGCTCTACCAACTTTCTCTACACATCTCTCTCCTGTCTCCCTATTCCTTGAGACTCAACAATATTAAAATTGGGCCAATTAATAAATAACCCAACAGCAGCCCCTAAGAGTTCAAGTGAAAGGAAGAGTAACACATCTCTCACTTTAAATCCGAAGCTAGAAATGATTAAGCTTAGTGAGGAAGACATGTCAAAAGCCAAGAAAGCCCAAAAGCTAGGCCACTTGCATCAGTTAGCCAATTTATAAATGCAGATGGAAAAGTGCTTGAAGGACATTAAAGTGCTACTCCACACACACAAAGAAGAAGAAGGAACAACTTTATTGCTGATATGCAGAAAGTTCGAGTGGTCTGGACAGAAATCAAATCATCCACAATGTTCTCTTAAGCCAAAATCTAACTCAGAGCAAGGCCCTAACTGGCTTCAATTCTGTAAAGGCTGAGAGAGTTTAGGAAGCTGAGAAGAAGAGCTGAAAGTTAGCAGAGGTTGGTTCATGAGGTTTAAGGAATGGAGCCATCTCCATAACACAGAAGTGCAAGGTGAAGCAGCCAGTGCTTAGGTAAAGCTGCAGCAAGTTATTCAGTAGATCTAGCTAAAATTTCTTAAGCCACTAAGGTAGCTACACCAAACAACAGATTCTTTTTTTTTTTTTTTTGAGATGGAGTCTTGCTCTGTCACCCAGGCTGGAGTACAGTGGTACAATCTTGGCTCACTGCCACCCCTGCCTCCTCAGTTCAAGCAATTCTCCTGCCTCAGCCTCCCTAGTAGCTGGAATTACAGGCATGCACCACCATGCCCAGCTAATTTTTGTATTTTTCGTAGAGACAGGGTTTCACCATATTGGCTAGGCTGGTCTCGAACTCCTAATCTCAGATGATCCACCCACCTAGGCCTCCCAAAGTTTTGGGATTACAGGCGTAAGCCACCGCGCCCGGCCCAGACTTTCAACACAGATAAAACAGTCTTCTATTGGAAGAAGATGCCATCTAGAACTTTCCTAGCTAAAGAGTCAATGCCTGGCTTCAAAGCTCAAAAGGCCAAGGTGACTCTTGTTAGGGACTAATGTGGCTAGTGACTTTAAGTTAAAACCAGGCCAGGAGTGGTGGCTCATACCTGTAATCCCAGCACTTTTGGGAGGCTGAGGTGGGTGGATTACCTGAGGTCAAGAGTGCAAGACCAGCCTGGCCAGCTTGGTGAAACTCTATCATACAAAAAAAAACATTAGCCAGGCATGGTGGTGTGTGCCTGTAGTCCCAGCTACTTGGGAGACTGAGGGAGGAGAATTGCTTGAACCTGGGAGACAGAAGTTACAGTGAGTTGAGATTGCACCACTGCACTCCACCCTGGGTGACGGAGTGAGGCGCTGTCAAAAAAAAAAAAAAAAAAAAAGCTAAAACCAACACTCATTTACTATTCCAAAAATCCTGGGGCCCTTAATAATTAAGCTCAATCTACTCTGCCTGTGCTCTGTCACTGGAAAAGTAAAGCCTGGATGAGAGCAGATCTGTTTACGGCAAGGTTTGCCAAGTATTTTAAGCCAACTGTTGAGACCTACAGCTTAGAAAAATATTCCTTTCAAATTATTACAGCTCACTGACAAAACACCTGGTCACCCAAGAACTCTGATAGAGGCGTACAAGGAGACAATGTTGTTTCCATGCTTGCTAACACAAAACCCATTCTGCAGCCCAAGGATCAAGAGGTAATTTCAACTTTCAAGTCTTATTTTTTCAGGAATACATTCTGTAAAGTTATAGCTGCCATAAGCAGTGATTTCTCTGATGGATCTGGACAAAGTAAACTGAAAACCTTCTGGAAAGGATTCACCACTCCAGATGCATTAGGAACATTCACGATTCATGGGAGGAGGTCAAAATATCAACATTAAAAGGAGTATGGAAGAAGGTAATTTCAACCCTCATAAATGACTTTGAAGGGTTCAAGACTTCAGTGGAGGAAGTAACTGTAGATAGGGTAAAAATAGCAAAAGAACTAAAATTAGGAGTGGAGCTTGAAAATGTGACTGAAATGCTACAATCTCATAATCAAACGTTTTTTGTTGTTTTAATTTTAGAGACAGAGTCTTCTTATGTTGTCCAGGCTGGAGTACGGTGGCTACTTATAGCACAATCATAACCACTACAGCCTTGAACTCCTGGTCTCAAGCAATTCTCCTGTCCTCAGCTGGAATCACAGGCACATGGTCACTACATCCGGCTCTCCTGACCAAACTTGAACAAATGCCTCTTAGGATGAGCAAAGAAAGTGGTTTCTCGAGATGGAATCTCCTCCTAGTGATGATGCTGTGAACACTGTCGAAATGACAACAAAAGATTTAGAATATTACATAAACCTATTGATAAAAGAGTGGTGGTGTTCGAGAAGATTGACTCTAATTTTTAAAGAAGATGTCTCCTGCAGGTAATATGCCAACAAACACCATTGCTAGCTACGGATAACTCTTTCATGAAAGGAAGAGTCCACTGACATAGTAAGCTTCTATGCTGTTTTATTTTCAGAAATTGCCACAGCCACCCCAGCCTTCAGCAATCACTGCCTTGACCAGTCAGCAGCCATCAACATTGAAGCAAGACTCTCCACGAGCAATGAGACTACAACTTGTGTAAGGCTCAGATGATCATCAGCATTTTTTAGTAATTTTTCAATGAAGGTGTGTACATTTTTTTTTTTTAGACAAAATGCTATCACACGCTTACTACAGTATAGTATAAACACAACTCTTATAAAATTCTGAGACCGGGTCTTCCTCTGTCACCCAGGCTGGAGTGCAGTAGTGTGATCATAGCTACTGAAATCTTAAAACCTAGGCTCAATTCTCCCACCTCAGCCTTTCGAGTGGCTGGGACTACAGGTGTGTGCAACCATGCCCAGCTACCATTCAAAATCTTTTTAGAGATGAGGGTCTTGCTATGTTGCCCAAACTGGTCTCAAACTCTTGGCCTTAAGCTGCCCTTCTGCCTCAGCCTCCCAGGTAGCTGGGATTACAGGTGAAAGCCACTGCACTTGACTGTAAACATAACTCTTTATGCACTGAGAAACCACAAAATTTGTATGACTCTACTGCAATATTTGCTTTTTTGCAGTGGTTTGGAACTGAACCAGCAATATCTCCAAGGTATGCCTGTTATTTGTATTGAACTCTCTCAACTGCAGCTAGTAAATTTACAGTACAAAGAGTATTAGGTATCTTCTGAAACACAAAGTCATATCAAGAAACTTGTATGCATGTACATGTAAATCTTTTTAAAAAACAACCTATGCATATTTCTTTTCACTTATTTACTGAAAGAAAAATTTAGAGCAATTCTTTCAATATTTCAATTAATATTTAAGTGACTAGTCTATGTCAGATAACTAGCAGGTACTATAATACAATGAGGGCTCCCAGAACCGGCTTAAGGACAACTGGTAATATTTTTTTCATATATGGTTTAAGAAAAGTAAGTTGAGTACGGTGGTTCATACCTGTAATCCCAGCATGTTGGGAGGCCAAGGCAGGCGGACTGCCTGAGGTAAGGAGTTCAAGACCAGCCTGGCCAACATGGTGAAACCAGTCTCTACTAAAAATACAAAAATTAGCTGGGCATGGTGGCACCACCTGTAGTCCCAGCTACTTGGGAGGCTGAGGCCAAAGAATCACTTGAACCCGGGAGGCAGTGGATGCAGTGAGCCGAGATGGCACTACTTCACTACAGCCTGGCGACAGAGTGAGACTGTGTCTCAAAAAAAAAAAAAAAAAGTAGCTGGGTGCAGTGGCACGTGCCTGTAATCCCAGCTACTCAGGAAGCTGAGGCAGGAGAACTGCTTGAACCCGGGAGGTAGAGGTTATTGTGAGCCAAGTTTGAGTGCCACTGAACTCCAGCCTGGGCGATAGAGCAAGACTCCATAGCAAAAAAAAAAAAAAAAAAAATCGGAGTCACTGAAGTTCAATAAACTTTAATAAACTTAAGTTGGTAAATAATAAAATTTAAACAGAAAGGTGAGAGCTGTAAAGACATTAAACACTCATCAGTGTTGACTATGCCTGCCGTGAACATTCTATAGTCTCTTCCTCCCCCATCCCCGAGACGGAGTCTTGCTGTCGGCCAGGCTGCAGTGCGGTGGAGCAATCAACACTCTATAGTCTTTCCATAAAAGAACGACTGCGTCTACTGCTATCTTATAAAAAGGTAGTAAGTCTCTGTGCAAAACAGTTAAGGCAGAGCCCAAACTTTAAAACTGTAAAGCACTGTTTGAGTGACTGAAAATTTCAAAGAGAGTGATTTATCAACAAATAAAATTACAGTAAGGAATGCAATGAGCCTACTGTAAATAAAAAATTTCCTGAAAATCAGATTAATTGTATTTATCAAGAGAATTTAGAAATACACGATAATGATGGTCATACTACCTTTTTCTTTTTTTAAATAGACAGGGTCTTACTTCGTTGCCCAGGCTGGAGAACTATCAGAGCATGATCCTTGGACACCATTTGAACTTACGAGGTCGAGGCTGCACAATTACAGCTCAGTGCAGCCTCAACCTCCTAAGCTCAAACGCTCTCCCACCTCAGTTTCCCAAGTTGCTAGGATTAAAGGCATGTGCCACCATGCCTGGCTAATTTTTCATTTTTTGTAGAGATGGGGTCTTACTATGTTGCCCGGTCTGGTCTCGACCTCCTGTTCTCAAGTGATTCTCCTGCCTCAACCTCTCAACGTGCTGGTGTTACAGGTATGAGTCACTGTGCCCCGTCCATAATACGTCATTAAATGGCAATTTTTTCTGAAATGAAATGTTTTAGACACTAATATTTTTAATCAATTTCAGAATAAAGAACTTGACTGACTTCCATACCTTTAACATCTGGATCATCAATGTGGGGCTCTAGATTTTCTATCATTTCTTCCAGTTCCTTTCTGGTGGCCATGGTGATGTTTGGAGAACTGGGCACAGGGCCTTCAGATGCTTCCTCTGGTCCCTCTGGGCTGGATTTTCCCCCAGAGTTCTGTTCAAGCTCTATGTCTAGATCTATTTCAGGAAGAGGAGTCCTCCAGAAATGGAAGGAGTTATACAATTCCTGATCTAAGAGAGCTGAATCTTGTGAACTGGTGCCAACCTCTGGTCGCAACATAGATTTGTAGTTACCAGGTTTTTTATCATTCTCATTACTAGCTGCTTCCTGGTGAGATTCTGAGGACAAAGTACAAAGTAAAGAGCTGTCCAGTGCAACACTAATTTCACCTAGAGGCTTCCCGGATGCCTCAGCAGCATGGTCTTCCAACGTGTTTTCCAGTATGACACTGGAATTACTAACACTGAGATCTGAAGGAGTATCCTCTGGCCTGACTTGTACATCCTCTGGGGCTTCTTGATCTCTGGTCCTTTTATTGTTTTATTTGGTGGAAAAAAAAATATGAAAGGATAATTACTTTAAAAAAATGATGAAAGATATTACATATAGCATTTAGACAAGTTAAACATTAAAAATTATGGATTATCTGCACAAATTGAGTTTATGTATATTATTTACAATGCTTCTTTCTCCATCAGCTGTTCTGTGTTCAAAGATGTAAATACCTGTTAAGTGTAAGTCTAGATAGTCAAGCAATATGTATTAGTTAGAGAAGGTAACATTTAAGAATCCTGGGATTCTATAATACCATGCGAATTTCAATAATAAATAACTAAAGTAGTGGAAACAGAAATTCGTACAATCATTTTAAGATACATAACAATATTTAAATTATTTTATTTTTAGGATTACTTGTATTGCCTCTCTACTCCAATGACATATTGAAAAGCTGAGACCTAAAGCCTATTTGCTTACATTACACAAGGAAAATTTTTAAAAAAATTTTTAGATAGTAGTAGGAAAGATACTTATTTGCTATCTCACAAAATATATTAAAATCTGCTTGAATGTAAATATTACTTCTGTTTCTTCTAAAATACTCATCTCTACTCCCCAAGGTTTTCCTAAAATGAGGTCATAACTTAATTGATAAGGACAGATGGTACAAATTCATTAAAGTCCACTGATTACTGCCATCTATGATCTAAAGTACGACTGCAAGTGTTATTGCTTGATTCAATTAAATTTAACAAGCATTTACTGAGCACCTACTAAGAGCCAGGAAATGAAATCAGTATTGAGGATTCAAATGTGAATGAGATGTAGCTCTTGCTCTTGAGATTACAATTAGAGGCAAACAAAAAAAGTGAACATACATCAGCAAATTGCTGCTAGACAGGGTGGTAAGCACAGATGCATGCACACTGAACACAGGAGGAGATGGGAGTGAAGATTAAAAGGCCTTCAAGAAAATGACATGAGTTGTGCTCAGAAGAACCAATACATGTTTATGGGGCTAAGGGGAAGAAAAAAGCATCCAAAGGAGAAACAGTACATGCAAAGGCCGGAGTGGCACACAAGGTGCGATGCATTCAGGAATCAGCAATGAGGAAATGATCGATGACAAGGATGAAAGACATCACAGGAAACACTGTATTCCAGAACAGCAGACCTCCGGAGTTCATCCTGGACCACAGGAAATCATGTAGAAGTTAAGGAAACTGTTGATAGATCTGTTGTTTTAGAAAGACCATTCTGGAGGAAGTGTAGAAAATGAGAGGTAAGACAGGAGGCAGGAATTACAGATGCGCAGGTGAAAAGTGATGATGTTCTGATGGAGGTAGTGTCTTCAGGACTACACAACAACACACTCAAACAGCAGCAAAAACCAACAGGACTTTTCCACTTACTGCATGCTGCAGGTAACAAATAACAGTTTCACAAGAAAGCTAACGGGTTCAGGTTGAGATAGGCTGAGTTAGCTACCCATGTTGGGTTCCAGGTGGTGATATCTATGAGAAAGAGGTAAAGACTGAGACAGAGGTGGAGGTCATCAACTCAGATGTGTGGGGCTGACACATGCAGAGGCAGCAAATATTAATAAAGAATAACACAACAACTGCACAGAATAACAAAGAGTGAAGGCATTCTTCCTGTATAAAAGCATAACGAGCATATTTTTAGGCTGAGGAGAATAGGTTAAAAGAGATGAAGGAACTGGAGACACAGAGATTGATGGAATAACTGATAAAGCAATGTCTTTCTGAGAAGAGGAAAGAATATGGGCTTCAAAAACACAGAGGAACAGATTAAACAGGTGAAGAGACATTGCTTCCAAAAAAACATGAAAGGGAAATAAGGATGGCTGAATACGTAGGCAAATTCGTAAGATGAATACAGAAAAAAGTATCTGTGTGCCTTTAAATACACATAAAAAAGATGCTTAACGGGAGACTTAAAAGGACTGTGCAAAAGGAGGGTGATGTTAATACCTATGTGGGCTCCCAGTTCAACAGTCACCATCTACATTCTCATGAAATTAGGAAGTTCCCTCTCACCATAATGCTCACTGTTTTAAAAACCATATTTTCACAAACAGGTGATTATTTTTTAAAATACTGATGAACAAAAACATATTTGTTAAGTCATCTGAAAACATAACACATTGTGACTGCATTTTAAATTCTGGTATTTTTCTTCTATTCTTGTAACTACAATATATATAGTATGCATATATAATACAATTATTTACAAGTGTGAGGAAACCAGACTTTAAGTTCTTACTCTCACACTGGCACTACATTAATATAAAACTCTGAGCCTTTTAATGACTTCTAGGATTCCTCACTTATTCCTTATTCATAAAAATGAGGAGTTGACCTAGATAACCTGTAAGATGGTTTTCTCTCTCCCAAAGGAGCTCCTGAAACTAGTGCTATTATGTAAAATAAATGTGTCTTCTATACATCTATGAATTACATATTTCCTATTTTGTCCATATTAAAAAATACATAATTTTCCCTTTTGTTATAAAGAACATTAGTGGGCCAACTGGTAAAATTCAATAAAGGCTACAGATTAGCTAACAGTATTGTATCAATGTTAATTTCCTAATTTTGGTAACTGGACTACAGTTACATATTAATATCTGTGCTTTAAGGAAATACATACTATTTTAAAAAGGTAAAAAGAATATCATGTCTAAAATGTATTCTCATAGAGTTCAGAAAAAAAGAATAAAGCAAATATGGTAAAACAGTATTTGGAAAATCAAGATGGATATATGAAATTCTTTGTGATATTCTTGCAAAATTTCTGAAATCATTCAAACTAAAATTTTAAATTTATAATAAGATACTGTTCAGAAAGGGGGAAGAGAAGAGCAAATGGATAAAACTTGTAAGACCTCATATGTACTAATAAATATAATGAACTTCTGTTTTTGTTTATTCTTTTTTTAAGAGACAGGGTCTTACTCTGTAGCCCAGGCTGGTGTAAAGTGGTATGATCATAGCTCACTGCAGCCTCAAACTCCTGGGCTAAAGCGATCCTCCTGCCTCAGCCTCCCAAAGTGATGGAATTACAGGGGCTTGAAGTTCCTTGATCACTATCTCAGCTTGGTGTTAAAATTAAATTTTAATATTCTCAGCTGCAAAAATGAACGGAGAATGGTCAAATAACTGTTTGTCTGATAAATGTAAACTTGTTAGTTTGTCCAAAGTTAATACTCTTAGAATGAAACTAGAAGACGAAGTTTTCCCTAGTACAGTATTAAATTCTGGATAGAACTATAGCATGCATGGCTTCAAAAATGTCGAAAGTATAAATTCTCTAAATTCGAATTTTTCCTGGTAAAGTATAATAGTCAATGCAAAATCAAGCTGTCCAATACTAAAATTCTGATATTCCTAATTGTCAGACTTTGAAAAGCTATTGTGCAAGACAAATTTTTTTTTGAAAACTGAGGCCCTTTGTGACTCTGTATAATGAGAATTACCCTGTCTCCTAAGAGACGTAGGTATCAAGAGCACCAGAGGACAGTACAGAAACTACCTACTTAAGGAGGAATCTAAGTGTCTTTTTGTGCCTACATAAGTTTGCAATTAATACCCTCAGAGTTCCTTACTAGAGACTACGGGCCAAGAAAATTAATTACAGGTATTTCAAGGAGAAAATGACTTGTAGAACATCTGGCTAAAGAGGCATTGTATCCTGAGATAAAAGCAAACACATTCCAGGATACACCTTCCAATTACTGTGAATTAACTCAACGAAGTTTTAGCATTCATGAAATATTTCCAAATTTGTGCTAATATTTTTTTTTTCATATAGTTAGCATTAACCTAAACTGGAAAACCCCACCAAAAGTGGTTTAGTTACTTCAGATTTTTGAGGTCAAATCCATATTTTCCTAGAATAATTCATTCAGGATTAATATGTGCACCAAAGGGCAAGTCCCAGCAGAGACAATGGGAGGAGCTGGATGCCACAATGCATGGCCGGGAGGCTACTGATGATAGATGCCAATATGTAGCCAAAAGCATAGGATTAAAATAGTGCTCACAGCGCTACTGATGACAAAGATAAAAGCTCTGTACTTCCTGGACAAGTCAGTGAGTCTAAGACAGGACTTTGTTAAACGAGGGTATGGATGGAACAAGAAGCTTCCCAGACAGCAGCAAGTACAAAAACAGGGAGAATTAAGAGAACATGGTGCATTCAGAAAACAATGTGATAAGGAATGCTTATTTTACATACTTTCAAAATGCAGATTTGAGTATTTCAACTCTGTTTCTGTGAAGCAAGGCTTTATCAGCACTTTCTTTTTTATTGTTTTTGTTTTTGAGACAGAGTCTCGCTCTGTCGCCCAGGCTGGAGTGCAGTGGCCGGATCTCAGCTCACTGCAAGCTCCGCCTCCCGGGTTTACGCCATTCTCCTGCCTCAGCCTCCCGAGTAGCTGGACTACAGGCGCCCGCCACCTCACCCGGCTAGTTTTTTGTACTTTTTAGTAGAGACGGGGTTTCACCGGGTTAGCCAGGATGGTCTCGATCTCCTGACCTCGTGATCCGCCCGTCTCGGCCTCCCAAAGTGCTGGCATTACAGGCTTGAGCCACCGCGCCCGGCCTATCAGCACTCTCAAAGAAGCATTAATAGCCTGATCCAGGGTGACTGAAAGATCTGATGTGTAAGTCAGATGTTTGGAATCAATACATGCTTCAAACAGTAATGAAGTGATAGTAAATGTTTCTAGGGTCAGATGAAACACTATACAATAAACAGTGGTGGAAATATGTTGCCAAAAACCTTCTTACTTTGTAAGACATTTGTTTGAAAATCCTGAATCTAAGAAACTGAGAGAACTTTAAGGACAGGAACTAAGTTCTATCTTTCCACTTAAAGTTTCTGGTTCTTAGTAGGTGCTCAGTTAACTTTTGCATAATCAATCAATCTTAACACCACAACAGTTTAAGATAGCTTAAGACAAATGCCAGTGTGCTATCTAAGGGAGGGCAAACAAACTAATGGTTCTGAGATTTAATAATATACAGTACTACTTCTTTATAAAGACAGAATGTCAAACTGTGCAAAAGCTTTTACAATGTAAAAGCTTTTACATAACTCCTTCCTTAGCCAGGAATGCTCTCTTCCCCCTACCATATCATTAACATAATTTAATAAGCTCTAATAATATTACTGAAGATCAGCAATACAAGTAGTATCGCCTGGACATTAAGACATACCTTATTACAATGGAAGAAGAATCAAGAAATTAAACTACCTTTAAATAGCTCTTGCAATAATGCTACACACCGGTAGACAGCAAACATGGCCTTGATAGGCACACTGTTCAGGTCAGTGAAGTTTTACTGGAACACAGCCAAGCTTGTCCATTTATGTAATGTCTATGGCTGCTTATACACTGCAAAGGCCGAGTGAGTAGTTGTGAAAGAGAAGAAAGTTTACCAACTCGTCCTATATAATTCTCTGTAATTTATAGTTTGACTTACTAGACCCATTTCAGATTTTAAAACAAAAGTTACGTAAGTCTTCAGTATACACAAGTAATTTGTTTAAGTATGCTGATTTCAAAAATGAAAAATAGGTAACATTCCCCACCCACCATCATCACTTTTGTCAAACTCCTTGCAGCACCTGTTTTCAAAAAAAACTGACAGACTTTGCTTGCTAGGAAAACAGGTTTGAGTGATTTTCTTCCTTTACAAAAAACAGTACCTCAGGTTTGTTTGGCTATTCAGCAGGACAGTAGGAGAACGGGCAAAAAGGTAAAACAAGGCAGCAGAGAAGAAAGAAGAACTGCCAAATCAAAACACCAAGAAAGCAAATAGCACAGTATCAAGACCTACAGAAGAAAATGTCCATTAGCATCATGACAAGGGAGGGAAAAGACACTATGGTAACTCAAGCATTATAGCAGGGACTGTTTCAAAAACTTGTACAAGTGCATAACTGTAAAAGTTTGTGTACATTTCCCACATACTAATAAGTTAGGCTTGAATTAGTTTTTCCCCTAAATATATATTATAATAAATTCTAAAAATTTAAATTTAATAGAAAATTTTTGATCCAAAAACATTTAAAAATAAAAATCCCAGTTGACTCTCTAAGCTTTATTTAAAACTCTGGTTTCCCTATGAGACTGATATACTTAAAACTGATATACTGGCTAATAAATACACTAAATTGGTGTTAATCATTCCAATGCTTTCTCCTTAAACTGACAGATTACAATCTCCATTGACAGAGAATCCAAGATGCACAACTAAATTATTTGACAGAAAAGGACAATAAAACCTATTCCTAAACTAAGTTTTACTCCTTAAAAAACAAAAAACAAAATATTACACAGTGTATAACAATTACCCTGTATATTGTAGATATCAATGAATGACTGACTAGGTAAATAATGTTTTAAATAAACGTTTTTTTTAAAAGTCATAATCTATTATTTAGAGTTTCCTACGTGCCAGGCAACTACCTAATTGTGTTACATGCATCTATTCATTCGATAGGTAACCAAAGAGATACTTAACAAACAAATGCACTTAAAAAAAAGCTCTATAAAAATATTCACCAATTTTTATATTCAAGAGAAATAGCAAACTATCAAAAAAATAACATTTTTTGCAGAATAGTGGAAATCATGTTTAAAAGCAGTACAATTAGAAAACAAAGTTTTAAAATTATACCTATATTTGTTTTCTACTGACATCTCTTCTGAACTTTTGCTTTCTTCTTTAAAATACTGGCCTGAGCTAGATGGATTAGCAAAAGTAGATATGAAAGGCCCCAGAGACTGAAACGCTGCTTGGCGAACCTAGGAAGAGAAAAAGGACAACTTAATAAAAAGAATTATACACACACACATTATATATATTTAATAATCTACTTTCAAATGCCAAAGTACGTTTAGGATAATAATAAAGCTTTTCTAAAGGAAGCCCAAATTCAGAAGTTTAGCTAGGACTGAAAAATTCTTACAAGCTATTTTCTCTGGCTGGGCGCAGTGGCTCATGCCTGTAATCCCAGCACTCTGGGAGGCCGAGCTGGGCAGATCGCTTGAGTCCAGCAGTTTGAGACCAGCCTGGGCAACATGGCGAAATCCAGTCTCTACAAAAAATACCAAAGTTAGCAGGGCATGGTGGCGCATGTCTGTGGTCCCAGCTACTCGGCAGGGCCTGAGGTGGAAGAAGCACATGAACCCGTGAGGCTACGTCTGTAGTAGGCCGTGATCACACCACTGCACTCCAGCCCGGGTGACAGAGCAAGACTGTCTAAGAAAAGCCCCCAAACACCACACACATCAAACAAACAAACAAATCCCTATTTGCTCTTTTTTACTTTCAATTATTTTTAACCTCTCTTGAATGTTTGAACCATGATAATCTAAGTATGAGATACTATAAAACATTTGCATAGAACAAAACTAAAGAAAGTCCTGCTGTGTTCTCAAGAACAAAAAGAATAAGGAAAACCAAGAGTGCCACAAAGAACATAAAAATCAATAAAGTCAACAAAATGTGATAAATACATTTAATGTTTTCAGGTAGGAAAGACTTTAATTTGTTCACTACAAGGAAGCAAGACAGATGTACCAGAAATATAATGTTAACTTAAAATATATGTCACAAAGATCTCGAAGCATAAACTACTGTTCTCGATGACTGTCTCGTTTGGGGGTGATAAAAAAGTTATAGAATTTCACTTCATGTCATATTTTTGAAAACGAGAGGTTTTATGGAAGGAAGGATGGATGGACACAATCAGACAAAGGCAACAACAATGGGAAAACTGGTATGTTACTAAAACCTTGACTTTGCCACACACCAATTTCCCTGAAGTTTAGCATTCCTTTTCCTTTGAGGCAGGTCTCGCTCTGTTGTGGAGGCTGGAAAACAATGGTGCTACCATGGCTCACTGCAGCCTCAAAATCCTTGGCTTAAGTGATCCTCCAACCTCAGCCTCATGAATAGTTGGGGCCTACAGGCATGTGCCACTACATCCAGTTATTTTTTTTTTATTGCAGAGACAGGGTCTTGCTATGCTGCCCAGACTGGTCTTGAACTCCTAGCCTCAAGCAATCCTCCCACCTCTGCCTCCCAAAGTGTTAGGATCATAGGTGTGAGTCACTGCTCCCGGCTAGCATTCCTTAAAAAAAAAAAAAAAAAAAGGCAAATACCTTTTTCAAGTTTAAGATAATTATATAGTAAGCATGATTTTTACAAAAGCAAATAAATGTAAAGCATATCTATTATTAGTATTTACTTACTCTTGGAGAAGCATATATAAGAAATGACTCAATTGGTTTTTTAAAAAGGCTAGAATTATATACATGAGAGAGAAAAGAATAGCTCATATGTGTGTAAACTAAGGGTTTTTCTCCTCTTCGTAAGTCACCAAACATTACTTCCATAAAAGGATAAAAGGTCACTTCTAACACTGTATGCATGAATTTAATCTTCTTTGAATATTGTTAAATCTCTGAGCTTGTTCCCAATAAAGGACATAGAAAACATAATTTATCTAAATCATTAGTTTACCTTGTTGTTAGATTAGAATGAAAAAAGTTTAATGTGGAGGACAGATATACCTTAGAGTGTCTAGTAAGAGTTAATTAAATCCTACTATTAATCTACCTCCTTGATTTCACAAAAACAGAAACTGGAATCCAAATAAAATGACTTCTTCAATGTTACCCTATAGTTACAATGAAATCAGGACTAAAGTCCAATTTTAACTCTCCAACACACCCCACTGCCTGTAATTGAGTAATTTTCCAACACTATAAAAATATATCTACTTTGAGGCCAGGCGCGGTGGCTCAAGCCTGTAATCCCAGCACTTTGGGAGGCCGAGACGGGCGGATCACGAGGTCAGGAGATCGAGACCATCCTGGCTAACACGGTGAAACCCTGTCTCTACTAAAAATACAAAAAAAAAAAACTAGCCGGGCGAGGTGGCGGGTGCCTGTAGTCCCAGCTACTCGGGAGGCTGAGGCAGGAGAATGGCGTGAACCCGGGAGGCGGAGCTTGCAGTGAGCTGAGATCCGGCCACTGCACTCCAGCCTGGGTGACAGAGCAAGACTCCGTATCAAAAAATAAAAAAATATATATAAATATATATATATATATATATATATCTACTTTGAGCTATTCCTCAAAATAAACTGACTTTAAGCTACTGCTTTTACTAGTTTCAATGACTTTAAGAAATAAACAACTAATGATTTTAAACAAAGGTTCTGGAAACCACTAAAAAACCCATAAGTCACTCAAAGAATAAATATTAAAGAATTTCAGAAATAAAATTAACTTTTAATCCAATTTTAACTTTTGAGAAGAGATAATACAGTAGATTATAACCTTCCCCAAATGGCTTAACATTGTTCAGACAAAAGACTATCTTGCCTTTTTTTTGCAACTAAATAGGCATAGTTTTTACGCGCGCGTGCACGCGTGTGTGTGTGTGTGTGTGTGTGTGTAAAATAGGCATAAGATACATATTTTTCTCAGACAGGTGCAGCATATATAGTCTCCCTCTGTATCCACAGGTTCAGTGGGTTCAACTAATTGCACATTGAAAACATAGTTAGATCCATGATGGTTGTGTCTGTACGGAACAAGTACAGACTTTTTTCCTTGTCATTATTCCCTAAATAATACAGAACAACAATTACTTACATAGCATTTATGCTGTATTAGATATAAGTAATCTAGAGATGATTTAAAGTGTACAGGAGGATGTGCATAGGTTACATGCAAATACTATGCCATTTTATATCAGAGACTTTTGAGTATCCTCAGATTTTGGTATCCACAAGTGGTCCTGGAACGAATCCTCCATGGATACCAAGGAACAGCTGTACATCTCTAAAATGACTGACACATCCATATTCTCAAATTAATAGGAACTAATGCATGTTATCAATCCAAACAATGACCAAATACATAGCTTCACCAAGAAAACTTTAAGTAAGCTATGCTAATCTTTTCTAACAAGCCGATACAGGATATGACAAAAACATTAATATAATATCAAGGCTTAAGAGTCTTGCCCTCTACGTCAATTTTGTTTTGGGAATGAATATGCAAAGGTCCTGAGACTGATCTCTGCCAAGACCGTGTGAGGCGCTCAGCTGACCCACTTCCCAGTGAAGTGAAAATTATAAAACAATAATTCAAAGCCCCTGGAAATGACCCTAGGAGCAAGCAGCAAATGAAGGGATATCAATTCCAGAAAACTGACAAAATGTCGTACACATCCTAAAAAAGCTGAGACTCTATTTTTGTTTTCTTTTTTGAGACAGAGTCTCGCTCTGTCGCCCAGGCTGGACTGCAGGGGCGCGATCTTGGCTCACTGCAAGCTCCGCCTCTCTGGTTCACGCCATTCTCCTGTCTCAGCCTCCAGAGTAGCTGGGACTACAGGCGCCCGCCACCACGCCCGGCTAATTTTTTGTATTTTTAGTAGAGACGGGGTTTCACCGTGTTAGCCAGGATGGTCTCCATCTCCTGACCTCGTGATCCACCCTCCTCAGCCTCCCAAAGTGCTGGGATTACAGGCGTGAGCCACCGCGCCCGGCCGACCATTTCCTCCTTTACCTCCAGTGAGGTGAGGTATGAGACTGCAGTGTGCTGTAGCCAAGCACACGGGTCTGCTCTCCTGCAGCTCCTGGGCACAGGCTGCTTTGCTCCAGCTACCTGATGCTGAGGCCCAGTCCTGAGTGACAGCAGCTGAGGGGTGAGGCTCCTTTCTTCCACCCTCCTTTGGGTGTGGCACACTGAAAAGGCTGGGGCTCCAAAAGCCATTGGTCTAGCTCACAGGGTGGAGAGTCCTCACCAGGAGAAAGAAGCCAATGGAACCTCAGGCTGCTGTCCTTCCATACCCACCAAGCCCCTGTATGCCAGCGTGACTGTGGGCAGACCCAAAGCTGTACCTCCTAGAATGGGGAAATAGTCTTCACCCAAGCATTCCAGCCAGTCACTAAACAAGCAAATCATGGTAACAAGCCCCACGGGGGAGCGAGGACAGCCAGTATCAACGTTTCTACATATATTATCTAAAATGTTCAACTCTCAACAAAACATTACAAGGCAGGCAAAAAAAAAAAAAAAAAAAAAATCCATACATTAGGGGGATAAAAGAGACAGGCAACAGAAACTGATTGTGAGAGCAATCAGATTTCAGACTTAAAAAAAGACTTCAAAGTAGCTATTATAAACATGTTCAGAGAACCGAAGGAAATGATGATTACAGAAGTAATGGGAGGTATGGGGACAGTGCTGCATCAACTAGAGTATAACATCAATAAAGAGAAATTATAAAAAAGAACCAGATGGAAATTCTACAGCTGAAAAGTGCAATGACTAAAATAAAGTCAATACATGAGCTCAACAGTAGATCTGACCTGGCAGAACAAAGAATTGATCTACTGAAGATAGATCAATAGAGATTATGCAAGCCAAAGAATAGAGAGGGGAAAAAAATGAGGAAAAATGAAAAGAGCCTCAAAGAAATGTAGGCCACCATTAAGCACATTAACATATATACAATAGGAATATTACAGGGAGAGAAGAGAAAGAAAAATATTTGAAGAAATGTTGGCTCAAAATTTTTCACATGTATAGAAAAACGTAACTTACATAACTAGGAAGTTCAATCAACTCAACTCCAAGTAGTATAAACTAAAAGAGCTGCACATACGGACACATCACAGTAAAAATTCTGAAAGTCAAAGGCAAGGAGAAAAATCCAGAAAGCAACAAGAGAAAAATGACACACCCCTTACAAGGGAGCCCCAATATGATTAACAGCTGACTTCTCAGCAGAAACAGAAGAGGTCAGAGGCAGTGGCATAACACACCCAATCTCACGTTAAGCAAAGCTGTCTTTCAAAATTGAAGGTGAAATAAAGACATTCACAGATAAATGAAAACAGTTGTTTGCAGAACTACATTAACAAGAAATTCTAAAATTAACTTTTTCAGGTTGAAAGCCATTTACCCCAGATGATAATTCAAAGAAGGAAGGAAGACCTCTAATCCATAACCTAACCTTCCGCCTAAAGAAGCAAACTAAAAGCAAGCAGAAGTGAGAATAAAGATTAAAATGGAAATTAATGAATAATAGAAAAATAGAGAAAACCAATGAAACCAAAAGCTGGTTCTTTAAAAAGCTCAACAAAACGGACAAACCTTTAGCAGACTGGCCAAGAAACAGAGACAAGATTCAAATTACTCATATAGGAAATGAAAGAAGAGGCATTACTACTGACATTACAGAAATTAAAAGATGATAAAGGAATCCTACGTACAATCATATACCAACAAAATTAAGTAACTTAGATGAAATGTACAACATTCCTAGAAAGATAGAAACTATGAAAACTGACTCAAGAAAAAAACATACAACAGACCTATAACAAGTGAAGAGATTGAATTAGGAATTTTAAAACTATCGGCAAAGAAAAGCCCAGGCCCAGACGGCTTCACCACTGAACTCAACCAAACATTTAAGGAATAATCAATACCAATTCTTCAAAAACTCTCCTCAAAAATAGTAGAGGAGGGAACATTTCCTAACACATTTTATAAGACGATTATTACTCTGACAAAACCAGACAAAGGCACCATAAGAAAACTACAGACTAATATCTCTCATGATATGGACACAAAAATCCTCAACAAAATACTGACAAACTGAATCCAGCAACATATAAAAAGAGTTATACACTATGACCAAGTGGGACTTACTCCAAAGACGCAAGTGGTTTAACATCTAAAAATTAATTAACATAATACAACATGCCAATTAAATAAAAATCAATAGGACTTAAAGTTGTAAAGAAATTTTTGTCCTGTTACAAAAAAACATAAAAACTGTTAATATAGGAGTCTTTCTACTGTCTATTCCTAAAAGTATAAAAAATAATATATCTTAAATTATAAGTTATTTCTTATGAGGTCAAAATTATGATTGCTTTAAAATGGACACAATTGTATTATTTTACAAAAGTGATAATCAAAACCCTACCCAACGTGAAGGATCACTGATCAAATTAATAAAAAGTGCTGATAATTTGGTCCGTCGGATTTCTTGACATGTTGCACATGAAACTGCCATGAAGCATTCAGCACACGCCTTTCGGACTCCCCATACATTATCAGAACAAAGCTGGAAAAATCTGGGCAGCTATGTGAAAAGGAAAGAGTCTTGTTAGTTGGATAAAGATAGCAGATTTCATTAGTTACTTCGCTTTCATTTTCTGCTTTGTTTTTTTTTGTCTGTTTGTTTGTTTTGAGACAGAGTCTCACTCTTTTGCCCAGGCTGGAGTGAGGTGGTGTGGTCTCGGCTCACTGCAAACTCCGCCTCCCGGGTTTAAGCGATTCTCCTGCCTCAGCCTCCCAAGTAGCTGGGATTACAGGCGTGTGCCACCACGTCCAGCTAATTTTTGTATTTTTAGTAGAAATGAGGTTTCGCCATGTTGGCCAGGCTGTTCTCGAACTCCTGACCTCAGGTGATCCACCCACTTTGGCCTCCCAAAGTGCTAGGATTACAAGTGTGAGCCACCACGCCTGGCCTCAGTATTTTAAATATTGGATTGCCTTAAAAAGTAGGATCTATTCGTATTTATACTCAACAATTTTCAATAAATCACATCTAATTTATAACTCAACTGGCTATGCAAAAGCACTCTCAACAATCATAGCTTAATGTTATACAAGCGCTTACCCCTGAGCTTAATTATTTTGCATAAGAGATGGCTTCAGAAACTCTTTAGGTATGGTGCCTTATACATCAAGTATATGCATCTTGTGTACTACTTAAAACTAACTTGCTATACATTTAATATGCCATCAACATTCTTGAGGGTTGCAATAAAATTAAAGATTCAATTGAACAAGAATTGATTTGCTTAACAGAAATGGAAGAGGTAAAAACAGATCAATGGTTTTGAAACATATCTATATTTTTAATAAATATCAAAAATATAATTCAAATGCCCAGATTACAGATATTTAAACTCCTAAATTCAAAGTTATTATCTTTCTGGTTTATATTCATGGAATTGTGTTAATAAAACTTTGCAGTAAATGTGTGCATTTCAAACTTTATGTACTACTTTGTAACACACACTGTTTACTCCTTTGTATCTGCAATACTTACCAACATTTCTTCAGTAGCTTGCTGGCCAACTACACTGCAAATATCTCCAAAATTGGCAGCACAGACCTGACAACAAAAGCATCACTGACATTTCAAAATATTACACATAGGGTTCTTCTAAAATAATCTTTTAAATGTCATGTATCAGTACATTAACCACTAGCACTATGTTTTTAAACAGAAGAAAAAAAATACCTTTCGAACGTGAAACATTCTGCAATCGCAGCACATCTCACAAAACCTAGGGAGGATAAGACGCTCTGTAATGTCCTTCCCAACCATGGGAGCCATTTTGCACATTATCTAAAATAAGTAAGAACAAACACACAACTGAAAATATCAAGTAAGGCTCTTTCAGTTAAACTTAATAACTTAATAAAAGTATATAATTTAAGGAAACAATATATGATATGGCATCATTATACTATATACATCACAGAAAATATTCATAGCCAATTATTAATTTCATCTTATTTATCTAAGCAGGAAACAAAGACAGATATTAACCACAATCAATAAAAACAACCAATAAATACTTCATGCCCAGTAAACCCACGGAAAATCCTAACAATTTCATTTTTGTCCAGTTTCCATCTTATTACTACTTCATCATTTTGCCTGGTAATTTTAAAAGCAAAACAAACAAAAACCTACATTTTCCCAATTAAAAAAATCAGTGACTGTTCAAGGGGAAAATTATCCCCAGGAAAGATCTAGATTTAGCATATCTGTATTGCTAAGAAAATAATTCAGTCCTTGCCTTGAAAAGCACCCAGTGAACTAAAGCTCATACATATCAGAACCATGTTCTGGTTTTGCAAAGCCTCAGTTCCAGGGAAAGCATGGACACAGTTCTGATATAGGCACGTTTCAGTTAAAAGCAGGCAAAGTGAGGATTAACTTTATTTGAAAACTGGCCCTCCCGCAGTTAATACAGAAAGAAATGGGATAGCCTGTCGTCATTTAACAATTCTATCAATTGCTAGACTGTACAAACAGGACAAAATAAAGAAGTAAAAGAGATACATAAAGATTGTAAAGAAAAAAAATTCTCTCTATTCAAACATGACATGGTTGTCTACACAGAAAATCAGAAGGAATCTACAAAGAAGCCACCAGAATAAATAAGTATGTTTAGGAAGGTTGTAGGCTATAAATTAGACTACAAAAATCTATTCTATTTCTACAAGTCAGCAATGAACTGGAAAATTTAAAAACAGTATCATTCACAGAAGTACTTTTAAAAAAATATGAAATTGAACAAAATATATTCAAGAACTTTCTGCTGAAAACTATAAAAGATTAAAGATATAAATCAAAGACCTAAATAAATAGATCTACCATGTTCAGAGACTATAAAACTGGCAATTCTCTCCAAATTGATCTACAGATTCAACACTATCCCCATGAAAATCCCATCATCATCAGAACTGGAGACAAGGCCTACATCTCCTAAATCCCAGAGCCAGTTTTGTTTTTTGAATAAGCATCTCCATGCTCTAGTTAACAATTCAAAGTTATGCTGTATATCACTGATGTAGCATAACTAAATTTATTTAAAAGTGAATTATTTTATTAAGAAATTAGTTTTTATTAACAAATAATTATAACTTCTCTATCGAGACAGAGAAAATATGGAAGCCAAGGAATATAAAACATGACCAAAAAACAAACACAACAGTAAGAGAATCATGAGATTCCTACTACCACTGGATATAGTTTTTAAATTTTTTATTATAATGTTTTACTAATTTCACATTGCATCGAGAATGATAATACAGCAAGTTAAATGGCTCAATATAAACCAAAAATTAGGCCAAGACCAAAACTGACTTCCTTCATTGAAAAAATCTTAAAGTAAAAAAAGAAATAATGATGCTTTGAAACTAGGAAGAAGTGGTGGTTATACAACTTCGTGAACATATTAAATGCCACTAACACTTTAAAATGATTTTATGTCATGTAAGTTTCACTTCAATAAAAACATTACTGAAAAAGTAAATTTATTATTAACTGGTAACTATCTAAAAATAATAGATTCAAGAAATTCTTCAAGGGAAACAGACTAGAAAGATCATCTAATTCATCCCACTAATGATAATCCAGAAGCACTACATATAGTATAATTTTTAAAAAATATCAACAAAGATGCAACCATATTATTTTAGGTTTAAGGAGTGAACTCTTACTATCCAAATAGATTTGAATAAATTTACCATCAGAATTACTACTATCCGAACTCAGGAACCACAGATGTGAATCACAACAGATACTACTCCATTCTAATTCATGCCCTCTCATGGCCTTCAAGTAATCAGAATATTTGCAAACTAAGTCAAAAAAACCCAGAATCTTCCTATTACATTTGACTTTATGATGTGCATAATGGCTTAACAATCTGTATATTCTTCTGATAACCATCACTGATGTCATATTTCCTGGGAAATGTACTTGCCTGACCATCCTTCCCACAAAGACCTGTCAGAGGAGGAGCCAAGTATTATTTTATTTCCACTGTGCTGACAGTGCCTAGAAAAGTGCTCAATACCTGCTGAAGGGGTTCAAGTGTTTCTTCGTTCAATACAGGGTTTTTAAAATTTTAACTGCACTGATAAAATAACCATTTCAGTTTTCCATTTTGACATAATAATTTACAATTATTTATTGTTTTCTTATTGTTTGCAGAAGGTACATTTTCCTTTGTAAGCATTTATGTCCCCTTCTAGCCCTGATTATATTTCAAATTTAATGATTTGTGGCAACTTTAACAGAAAAATGTTAAACAAGGTAAAGCAGCCTTTTTTTTTTTTTAGACAGAGTCTTGTTCTGTCAACCAGGCTGGAATGCAGTGGAATGATCTCCACTCACTGTAACCTCTGCCTCCCAGGTTCAAATAATTCTCGTGCCTCTGCCTCCAAAGTAGCTGGGATTACAGGCATGTGCCGCTACACCCGGCTAATTTTTTTTGTATTTTTAGTAGAGATGGGGTTTTTAGTAGAGATGCCATGTTGGCCAGGCTGATCTCAAACCCCTGGTCTCAAGTGATCCTCCCACTCTGGCCTCCCAATGTGCTGGGATTACAGGAGTCAGCCACTGCACCCAGCCCAGCCTAATTTTTTTTTCCTTGAGGCAGAGTCTTGCTCTGTCACCCAGGCTGGAGTGCAGTGGCCTATCTTGGCTTACTACAACCTCCACCTCCTCCCAGGTTCAAATGATTCTCCTGCCTCAGTCTCCCAAGTAACAGGGACTACAAGTGCACACCACCATGCCTGGCTAATTTTTGTATTTTTTTAGTAGAGCCAGGTGTCACCATGTTGCCCAGGCTGGTCTCAAACTCCTGATCTCAAGTGATCCACCCACCTCAGCCTCCCAAAGTGCTGGGATTATTAAAGGCATGAGCCACCGCGCCCGACCCCAGCCTAACTTTTAATAAGCACCTCTTATCAGCCACATTTTGCATAAATGGAAAAATGCCATTTGACTTACAGCCACAGCTTCTGTTTTCACATCATCATTGCTATCTGGGGCGGTCAGCTCTATGAGGACAGGGCACACTTTGGTCTCCACATCAAATCGTTCAATGAGCTCCTGCTCCAGCAGAGCCAACAAAGCTGCCTGACTTGTTTTCCTCACCTAGGAGAAAAATAACACCACAAACAAAGTACATATGCGACACGACAAAATTCTACCACTTGACTTTTAAAACAAAGATTGCTCACCTCAAAGGGACCCATAACTGGCAAAACTCTGCAAATAAATGTTTGTGTTTATTTTCTTCAACTATTACAAAGACTACAGAACTTGGTAGATTGTGTTGTAACAGAGGAAGTGGACAGAGCCATCCTGGTAAAAGGTGCCTCACAAAGTAACAAACATTTTGAGGGACCCCTAGGAGGCTACCAAGTGACAGTACAGTTACTAGGCATTATCTATAATGGTATTAAAGAGATATACTAGATTTGTCAGACTCTAAACACATCTTGTCTCAGATAAATGTTCATTTTTGAAAAACAGTAACCGAGTTAAAGAGGAAAAAAACATTCCAAAGAGAACACTTAGGCTAGGCTATTCTCCATATATTACACTACGCAAATTTAAGAACATATAAATGGTACTCTTACCTGATTATTCTGATCTGCAAGATATCTAACCACAATAGGTAGTAAGAATTTGGAAAAAGCGTATGGTATTGAAGGCCGGTTTTCTTGACAAAACAGTGCGATGTGAGGCACCTGTTCCATCAGCTCCGCTCTCACAGTTGGTTCTAGTGAGATAACAGCAATGTGAGCAAACATGTTCTCCTGCAGCAACAAAACCTTTATCTGGACTTGAGGATACTTAGGAAGGCTTTGGATTTTCATCTTCAAAATATAAAGGACTTGGGACAACATCCTTTAATTCTGCAATCCTTTTCAGAATCAAACACAGATCAATCCCATGAGTGAAAGGAGGACCTTATCTTCACCCCAAGCTTCTGTTGTTCACAGTATGCACTGAGTATCTAACCATTTCTTAACAATAAATTTATTCATCACCTACACTGTGCCACACTGTGCGAGGGGTTAAATATCCTATCTGATATTTACATCAATACTGTGATACATACATAGTATTATCGATAAATTCCATTATTTAAGAACCTAGTAGGACAAGTCATAAAAACTAGCTCCTAATCTCAACTTAGTCAATAAATGAAAGATACATAATTAGACTTAACTAAGACTAAAAATGAGTAAATGAAAATTAAAGGTGACAAATATTTTTTAAAAACCTGAAAAGACCCAAGTGCATATGGCAAATTTAAATGTGAGAAATATGGCATTTCAAATCTCTGGGCTTCAAAAAGATGAAATGTCTAAGCAGCAGCAGTAGGAAAATCAGCTAGTTAGCACAGAACGAAAGTACCTACTGCACATCATACATAAAGATCAAAAGTACTAAAAGATAATATTAAATGTTCAATCTTGAGATGGGAAGACAAAACCCAAAAATCAACCATAAGACCAACTAATTTTACTTTATAAAAACTTTATTATAGGCTGGGTGTGCCTATAATCCCAGCACTTTGAGAGGCCGAGGCGGGCAGATCACTTGAGGTCAGGAGTTCGAGACCAGTCTGGCCAACATGGTGAATCCCGTCTCTACTAAAAATACAAAAATTAGCCAGGGGTGGTGGCACATGCCTCTAATCCCAGCTACTCCAGAGGCTGAGACAGTAGAATCACTTGAACCCGGGAGGTGGAGGTTGCAGTGAGCCAAGATAGCGCCACTGCACTCCACTCTGGGCGAAAGAGCAAGACTCTGTCTCAAAAACAAACAAATGAAAAAACTTTATTATAGATAACAGATACCATACTCAGTTAAAAGGGAAAACAGCCTGGGAGCATATTCATGTATAACAGAGTATTAGGAAGTCAACTACACAAAGAACACACTGTTCAAATAAATAATAAGACAGACAATAAGGACACAAGTAGGCAATTCATAGAAGACATGCAAGTGACTGAAATACAGACAGACATGATGGATTATCAGTAACAAGTCATTGTATTGGACCTAACTAGAACTTTGGTGCCCATTATCATTATGCATTATTAAAATTACATTAAACACATATGAATGTGTCTACTAGGATTTCAGATCTCAACAGAGAAATTGACATAGCTTTAAATAGAAAATATGGTATTTTACGAAGTTCAGAATCTTATCAACAAATCAATATCTGGAATTTCTATTATACTGTTGTACCATGTGAAGTTGGCCAGATATGAACAAAATAGAGTGTTTCTGTTTTGAAGAAAAAAAGTAAACATACAGGCCTCTACTATTCTCACAGATCCTGAATTTTCTAAGTTAACACTGACAATTGCTTATATTTTTGAAGCAAAAGAAGGACACAAGTTATGGTTTCAGTTAAAAATGAAATAAGCAACTTTTCTTTCCTCAAAGCCCTGCTTAGGCAAATAGACTAATGGGGCAGGGGGGAAGCCTAGAAACAGACACATGCATGTATAGACAACGATTTATTATAAGGTGAACTGGGAAAGATGGCCTTCTCAATAAAGGGTATTGTGTCAACTGGCTCCTCATATTAAAAAAAAAAAAAAAGAAACTTGTCCTCCACTTCATATCATGCACATGAACAAATTCCAGGTGGAATACAGATCTGAATGTCAAGGCAAAAAACAATAAGGCTTCTCTGTGTTAGAGAATACAGGAAAAGATATTTATTATGACTTTGAGATTGGAGAAAATCTCTAAGAAGACAAAAGCAGCACAACCCATAAACGAAAAGCACTTCTCTTCTTTAAGAAGCATCACGATGAGCGCAAACACAAGCCACAGAGTGAAAAAGATATCTTCAATACACATAAACAACATAGGGCTCATATGCAGAATGAATTCCTGTAAATCTGTAAGAAAATGACTGCCAATTTTTTAAAGGGGGAAGAGACTTAGACATTTCAAAAAAGAAGCCGGGCATAGTGGCTCATGTCTGTAATCTCAGCACTTTGGGAGGCTGAGTTGGGTGGATCACGTGAGGTCAGAAATTCAAGACCAGCCTGGCCAACATGGAGAAATCCCATCTCTACTAAAAATACAAAAATTAGGCGGGCATGGTAGTGCATGCCTATAATCCCAGCCACTCGAGAAGCTGAGGCAGAAAAATCACTTGAACCCAGGAGGAGGAGGTTGTAGTGAGCCCAGGTCGTGCCACTGTATTCCAGCCTGGATGACAGAGTGAGACTCCATCTCAAAAAAAAAAAAGGATACCCAAATAGCCAGTAAGTATATAACCAGGTATGAACTTCACTGGCTATTGAGGAAATGTAAATTACAACCACAATGAGAAACCACTACACATCCATCCATTCCAGGGGAAAATAATAAAAGCAGATGGTAAATTTTGGGGAATAAAAAAATCAAGATAAAAGCTAATGAAAGGTAAGGCAGAAGACTGAAAGGTTCTCAGCTGCTTATTTGTCTAAACAAAGGATACATATTTCATTCACTTCAGAGCTATGTTATTATTCAACAGTCTTTATCTTACCCACATATCACAATAAGCCCAGTCCTACAAATTAGAGACCTCAGGGTCAAATCCTCTCTCTTCCTCACTCTATCCAGAGGTTAGCCTTGGAATCCCTCCCAGCACTTCAATTTCTATCCAACAATTCATCCTTATAACAATTAACTGGCTGGTCACGGTGGCTCATGCCTGTAATCTCAGCACTCTGGGAGGTTGAGGCAGGTGGATCACTTGAGGTTAGAGAAGTTCCAGACCATCCTGGCCAACATGGTGAAACCCCTTCTCTACAAAAAATACAAAAATTAACTGGGTGTAGTGGTGCATGCCTGTAATCCCAGTTACTCGGGAGGCTGAGGCAGGAGAATTGCTTGAACCTGGGAGGCAGGGGTGGTTGCAGTGAGCGGAGATCACGCCACTCTGCTCTAGCTTGGGCGACAGAGCAAAACGCTGTCTCAAAAACAAAAACACCCAATTACAGTCCTCCAATTAGTCTTCTTGTCACCCATCTTTTTCACCATATCAGTTCATACTGCTACACTACACTGTTCTAAATCACAAAACAGGTAAAGTCATCAGCATGGTTTGTTATAAACCTTTACAATCTAGCCCTCACCTACCTTATTTAACAGCCTATATTTTTCTAACCTGGAAACTCAGCAGGTTAGTCTCATTGTCAGGTTGGCCTCATTGTTGACCAAATGGGCCACCTTCTTGAACTCCTCTGTCTTTTCCTCTCCTGGGTACGCCCTTTCCCCTCTCTATACCTCATCATTCTATCAAATCCAACATAAATATCACTAACTTTCTGAAGCCTGCCCCGATCCTTCCCATTGTAATGTACTGTTTATATGTTGGCTGCATTCACTAAACTTAATTTGACGACAGAAATCCTTGTTCACCTTAATGACTGCTCTAGCATTTAATGTAGAACCTGGTATAGAGTAGGTACTGTTTGATGTATACTGAATGAATAGAATTATGTCAATAGAGACATTTACTATGAACTTACCAATGTGAGAACATATTTTAAAATACACACACACATCCCCACACACTTACCAAAAAAAAACTCTAGAGCTGGTAAACAGATAAAGGAAAACACAAATCCATCCTTAAAGAATATCTGTCTTTACTAAGGAATATAACAATAGGCTTAACAGTGCCATGAATTTACATTAAATTGTTATTTAACTTAAATCAAATTTTAAAAGTAAGTAAAAATTATACTTCATGAGACCCCCTCCTAAAACCATTTTAGAACAAGCATATACATAAGCAATTATGTATACAAAGGTAGACTATTGCTCAGTTAAGCCTATAAATGTTGTGCCCACCCTGTAAGAATATTAGGAACATTTAAGGCTTATGTAAACATTTAACATATTCCCATTAAAATGAACTGTTCATCAAAAGATGAGTTTGTCTAAAAATTAAAAGATGGGGCTTGCTGAGATGCCAAAAAGTCTGTCAGAGATGGAAAATATACTTTAATAAAGATAACAGATTTAAGGAAAAAAGTTTTAAAATTTATTTTTGGATTGTTTCTAAAATCAAGTATAAAAATATGCTTAATATTACCTTAAAATAGTTTTATGTGTTAAGTATTAAGTATATTTTACTACAACAAAAGATATATTTGTAAGAACTCTAACATTACCATTTTCTAAGCCTCAAATCAAGTTTACCTCTTTCTTAAGCAGACTTTCTTATTTTCACTTCGGAGATAAACCAGGTGTAGTTTTACAAATGGTTAATCAACATTTTTTGAAAGTGAGAAACCACACAGAAAGCAAGTTTTCTATATTTGCCTAAAACAATTTATAGCCTCCTCCATCTCTTTTAATGTATTCAAAATTATTCTAGATATTATTAATCCTAAAATATTAATATACATGATGCAAAACAATGTTTTTAGACTTGTTTTGATAAGAAATTTCTAAAATTAAACTAAATGAGACTACTGCAAAATGTCCAGGTCTCAGTAACAAATTTTACTTTTGTTGTCATGGATGGCTTTGATAATTACTTAGGAAATATTTTAAAGCCATCTCATATCACATTAATTTTTTCATTAGTTTTTAGAAACACAAATTTGGTCAAAGAAACCTTTCTAGAACACAGTAAATTCACTTTCTCCACATAAACATATACCTGAATCATCGGCCAATCTGCTAATTCTTTCCAAAACAGCAATACAATCTCTTTCATCATCGCAGACTTCCCTCAAGGTATCCAGCAAACTCCGGGCCACCATTTGTCTACACAGAAAAACAAGATTACGTATGTTCAATGGCATCAACAGCTAATATCCAGAATTTTATTTTTTTGAGACAGGGCCTCATTCCTGTTGCCCAGGCTGGAGTGTAATGGCGCGACCACGGCTAACTGCAGCACTGACTTCCCTGGCTCAGGTAATCCTCCCACCTCAGCCTCCTGAGTAGCTGAGACTACAGGCATACACCACCACACCTGGCTAATTTTTAAATATCTTTAGTAGAGATGGGGTTTCACCATGTTGCCCAGGCTGCTCTCAAACTCCCGTGCTCAAGCAATCCACTTGCCTTGGCCTCCCAAAGTGCTGGGATTACAGGCATGAGTCATTGCGCCTGGCCGGTATCTAGAATTTTAAAAGACAAAATCTACACATTTTTTAAGAAACTTTTTCTTATTACATTATTAAAACATATATTAGGTCTATAATTTTCTAAGTGGCAAATGGCAGTATTGATTTTATTTTAACAAGATGAGACTGAATATTTACAATTTTTTTAAAATCTTTATCTAACTGATTTGGCAAAAAGTCACCAAAAATTCATTTCCGTTGTCTTTCAATTATTATAATGAAAAAACACATTCATTATACAAAATGTTATCCTTACATATTTTTAACAGTATGAGTTTTGCATAGCTATACCCAAAAAATCTGAACAGACTTTTTGATTTCCCAGAAAAGTGTGATATAAGTGGTCTGGGATCATGGCCGGACAAACACAACGCAGCAGGAAGAGTGCTGGCTCTTGGTCACTGCCATGTGACCCAATGACCTTGAGCATCACCTGTCACACAGCAGGTATACAACATCATGTGTTGAAGGAATAACGTACCTTCCAATAAGCAATTTATATGAATACCAAAATTATGTCCAGTGGCAGAAAAGCAATGGTAATTAATGGTAATTTTTTTGCAAAGAAAGCATGTTGTATGCTTACTAGGATCAAAGAATAAACAAGTACAAAACTGCTCATGCTATGATTACGAATAAAACTTGGTGACTCAGATTGTGCCTGTTAATAATACCTCCTTTAAAATGGATACTTTCATTTTCCCTACTGAAGTTAATAAAACCACCCTTCCACTTCCACTTTAACAAAAAGAATATGCACATACCTGTTAAATACGTTCTCACTTGCAGCATACTTGTCCAATCTCCCCAGGGGCGTCAACATTTCATCTTGTGAGACAAAGTCCAAGGCTGAAGGTATAATAATCACATCAGACTCTGAGCTGTAGTCATCCACACCAACTATCAGAGACATCAGAAATACTCCTTATAACACTTTGAAACTAAAATGTACCCCTTGCCTGTCTGAAGCAGTAAAAATCTGTTTCTGGAATGGTACCAAAAAAAAAAATCATAAGAGACTCTCAGAATCAATCCAGAAGCCACAAATAACTAAAATATACCTCCCTTTCCTTTTTCTACAGATATGTTCTACTTGGCTCTATAATGACAAAGTTCTACTTGGCTCTAAAAGCACAAGGGTCAGAGGCTACAGAAACTCAGTATGCAGGAAACAGTGATCAGAGTCTTGAGAACATGTTCAATCAAGACACTAATAACTTGTGAATAGACACACAAAAAGTCTAGCACCGATACAGTTAATCCTGCAATGTAGAAGATAAAGCTAATGAAACTGGTATCTAACTTCACTTAATAGAGGAAAGCTAAAAACACTAGTATATTTATAGTCATTAAACAAATATTTATTAAATACATTTGTGCCAAGTACTAGGGTAGTTGCTGGGGAAACAATAATGAAAATACTAATGTTTCTGCTTTCAAAGAGCTAATATTCTACATAAAACAATCTACTTTAAAATGATCATTGTAAGAAAAGTATGCATTAATACAAACTAGAAGGCCAGACACCCATTCAAGCTGCAGGAGAAGGAAGAAAAGACCAAGAAAGAATGGCTAAAAACCAACCAGAAGATAATTATTTCAAAGGAACCAAGCAATGAGTGAAGGTATGATTAAACAGCATCTACTACCAAAGGAGTCAAGGAAGAACTGAAAGGTGCCCACTGAATTTGGTACTTTTGTGCCATGCTGTATGACAAGGGCGATTTTCCACTGTATGAAAGCTGAGAAGCCAAACCTGACTGAAGAGGTAGAGGAAAATATAAGAAAGTGAAGACAAGGAATACAAAATATACTTTCCAGAATTGTGGTTGTGAAACAGTAAACTGGATTAGATTACTAGCCAGGGCATTCAAGCAAAATAAAGATTTATTTTGTTTTGTTCCTAAAGTTTAAAAGAAGACAAAGATTTGCACATGGTTATATAATGAAAGTAAATAGTCAACAAATAAACATAAATTGAAGTTTTAGCAATAAGAAAATATTACCGATGGAAACACCATGAGGCTGGAAAGGATGGGATCCAGAGCTAAATAAGAACTCAACTGCTACAGTTCAGGGCCTTTCCCATGGCCCTAAGAGTTTTCCAAGAAATTTTCTTATTATTTCCTGGCACTTCCTATTCTATCCCCTGCATTACTTGATTTACTTTCTCAACAGTGCCTGTCAACATCTGGTAATATTAGTTGTTTTACTTATTGTCTGTCTCTCTAGAGTAAGTTATTGGCTCCATGAGGACAGGAATTTTTATCCCATACACTGCTTCATCTCCAGGATATTTCCAGGCACAAAGTAAGCATTTAAGTATTTTTGAAACAAAAAAATCTGTTCATAACTCACAATGAGATTCTGTCTTTGCAACTTTAGCTCTTTTCTTAGGAGAGAAAAAGAAAACCACCTAAGAAACTCCTCCCAAATGTTGCTATATGAGTGACAGAAAAGATTCATCATTTCCTAATGAAATGTTATTGCTATTAGGGCATTTTAAAATGCTTGTTTTTAAATTAAATGTGTATATACCATGGGACCATCTTACAGAACTGACTACTTTAAACAGATAACATCGTTTTTACTCCCAATAGAACATTACCAAAAAGAGACCACAAAACACAGCACAGTCCCTTTTGTTAAAAACAAAATAGGCCGGGCGCGGTGGCTCAAGCCTGTAATCCCAGCACTTTGGGAGGCCGAGACGGGCGGATCACGAGGTCAGGAGATCGAGACCATCCTGGCTAACACGGTGAAACCCCATCTCTACTAAAAATACATAAAAAACTAGCCGAGCGAGGTGGCGGGCGCCTGTAGTCCCAGCTACTCGGGAGGCTGAGGCAGGAGAATGGCGTGAACCCAGGAGGCGGAGCTTGCAGTGAGCTGAGATCCGGCCACTGCACTCCAGCCTGGGCGACACAGCGAGACTCTGTCTCAAAAAAAAAAAAAACAAAAAAACAAACAAACAAAAATAACTTCTGTATTTAAAGAACACTTAAACACGGTCTTCCACTTTTGAAAAGGATGGATTAACAAGAACCAACTTAACCCTCACATCTTAAATGGTAAATAAATAAATAAATAAATAGACAGAGCCAGGTATGCTGACAGTGTCTGTAGTCCCAGCTACTTAGGAGGCTGAAGCAGGAGGATTGCTTGAGCACAGGAGGTCGACACTGTAGTGTTCTATAACTGCATCTGTGAATAGCCACTGCACTCTAGCCCCTGAGAAACACAGTGAGACCCCCATCTCTTAAAAAAAAAGATAAAACATATGAAGTCATGGTATCAGACACTGACAAAAGACAGTACTGGACAGTGATCTCTGAGAAAGAGAGGACAAATGAAATGAGCCCTATATTCTTCCAGTTAACTTCCTGGAAATAATTTCCAGAGCACTAGGAGGGTCCAAATATAATCTCAGCAGACTCCTCGAATTGAGGAGACAGAGTTGAGAATTCAGGGAGGCCAAGGCAGCTAAAATTGGCAGAGGAAGAGTATCGGAGAGGAGGGACCTTCACAGAGAAAGAACTTCAGAAAGCTACAGAAGGTACCTTTGAGTCTTTAAGTGAGTATTCAAACAGTTTATGTGTGTGAGGAAACTACTCAGTATTCTGGGAAAAATAACTACCTGAAATGATCAAGTGAACAAATCCTCGATTATCACAAAGGACAAGGACTAGTTTATGTCTCCACCAACAAAAATTTTAAAAATTCTATAATAAATGAGGCAAAACACCTAAGAAGTGGCAAACAATTCTCCTGGTTTTGCCTAACAAAGTTTAACAGGCTTCAAAAGAAACAAACTATATCCAAAAAACGGTGTCACAGAACAAAACTCCAGTATGTAAATGAATATAAAAATAGCTAGCACTCAACAAGGTAAACTCCACAACGTCTAGCATCCAATAAAAAATTACTAGGCACACAAAAGGCAGGAAAATACAAACCACGAGGCAAAAAATTCTACAACAGAAACAGACCCAGAACAAAGAATATAGCATTAGTAGATAAGGACATTGAAAGTTATTTTAATTATATTCCATACATTTAAGAAGGCAGAAAAAAAGAACATGTTAAGAAGAGACACGGAAGATGATATGAAAGACCTAAATTGATCTTTTAGAGATGAAAAAAAGACATGAAAAATACATGGGATGGGATCAAGAGCAGATTAAACATTACAGAGGAAAAATTGTGTTACCTTGAAGAAAAAGCATAAGAAAAATATCCCAAATGAAACAGAAAAAATATGGAGGAGGAAGAAAATTAAGCATCAATCAATTGTAGGAAAACTCCAAGCATCCAAATGTATGTGCAAATGGAGTCCCCAAAAAAGAATGGGAGATATAAAATATATCTGAAGAAATAACGGACAAAATTTTCCCAAATTTGGTAAAAACTATCATCTACAGATAGATTCAAGGGGTTCAATGAAACTCATGAGCAAGAAACATGAAGAAAAGTATACCAAGGCACAATATAATCAAATTGCTTAAAGCTAGTGATAAAAACTTTCAGGCAGCCAGAGAAAAACTCAAGTTATATACAGAAAAACAACAATCAGAATGATAGCAGACTTTTCCATCTAAAATACAAGCCAGAAGACAGTAACATCTTTAAAGTAAATAAAGAAAAATACCTGCAACTCCATACCTCAGAAATAGAAATCTTCCAAATATGAAGCTGAAATAAAGATTCTTTCAGCCATACAAAGACTGATATCATCAACAGCAGACATGCACTATAGGAAATACTAAAGCAAATCATTCAAGCAAGAGGAAAATTACACCAGATGAGAATCTGGATCTATACAAAAGAATAAAGGGCATCAGAAACAATTAATATGGGGCCAGGCACAGTGGCTCACACCTATAATCCTATCACTTTGAGAAGCCGAGGCAGATGGATCACTTGAGCTCAGGAGTTCAAAATCAGCCTGGGCAATATGGTAAAACTGTGCCTCTAAAAAAATACAAAAATTAGCTGGGCATGGTGGCGTGCACCTGTAGTCCCAGCTACTTAGGGGGCTGAGGCAAGAGGACTGCTTGAACCTGGGAGGTCAAAGCTGCAGTGACCTGAGATGGCGCCACTGCACTCCAGTCTGGAGGACAAAGCAAGACCCTGTCTCCAGAAAAAAAAGAAAGAACAAAAAGGTTAATATGGAATAAATAAAAAATTTCCTATTTTTCAAGTATCTAAAAGATAACTGCTTAAATAAAACTATGTACTAAAAAATAAATGGATAAATATATATTGTGGGGTTCACAACACATGCAGAAGTATAATATATGACTACAATAGCACACAGACAGGAAAAGGGTATACTGTTACAAAGCTCTTACACTGTGTGTGAAGAGATACAAATTATTTGAAGTTGACTGTGGAAAAGTAAAAATGCATATTAATTATAAACTCTAAAGCAATCATTATTTAAAAAGAAACACACATACACCAAAGACATACAACTACTAATCCAGTACACCCCATAAGTAATCTAAAAGAACGCACAAAAAGAGAATAAAGGGAACAAGAAGAGATGAGACAAACAAATGAGAAACAGCAAGATAAAGAGATTTGAACACAACCATATCAGCAACTACATTAAGTGCAAATGGTCTAAATAGCCCAACTAAGGCAGAGACTGTCAAATTGGATTACAAACAACACCTAACCATGAACATAACTATACAGAGCAGAAATACTTTATACAGCTTATTCTATCTACAATTCATAGCAAAATACCTTATTAATTATAAATCAGAGCTGTAAAAGCCACTCAGCCACTCTCATCTGGCCAGTTTTCTCCTTTATAAGACTGTTAAGCTAGCATAACCTTGAAACACCTTTATAAAGGCTCTAGAATTCTATGACTATGACCAAACTGTTTCATC